GCCGAATGCACATGGTATTCCCAGCCGGTCTCCCATGCAAGTACTAACCACGCCCGATGCAGCTTAACTTAAGTGATCGGACGGGAATTGGTGTATTTTGCAGTGGTTTGGCAGTAGGCTGAATATTCGTCCGAATTGGATGTCATTCGAAGCTTCGACTAGACAAAAAAATCCAGGAAAAAAGTTAGCATGTACGGTGGAATAAAATTGTTGATGAGCCTACTGCACATTGTATTCCTCGTCGGTCTCCCATGCAAGTACTAACCACGCCCGATGCGGCTTAACTGCAGTGATTAGACAAGAACTGGTGTATTCTGCAATGGTTTGGCAGTCTAGGCTGAATATTCGTCGGAATAAAATGTCGTTTAATGTTTTGGCTAGGCAAACAATCCCGGAAAAAATTAGTATGTACGGTGGACTAAAAATGTTGATAAGCCTACTGCAAATGGTATTTCCAGCAGGTCTCCCATGCAAATACTAAGCACGCCCGATGCAGCTTAACTTCAATGATCAGGCGAGAACTGGTGTATTATGCAATGGTTTGGCAGTAGGCTGAATATTCGTCGGAATTGGATGTCATTTAATGCTTCGGCTAGACAAAAAATCCCGGGAAAAAATTCGTATGTACGGTGGAGTAAAAATGTTGATGAGCCTACTGCACATGGTATTCCCAGCCGGTCACCCATCTGACCCATGCAAGTACTAACCACTCCCGGGCAGTGATCGGACAAAAACTGATGTATTCTGCAATGATTTTGCAGTAGACTGAATATTCGTCGGATTTTGATGTAATTTAATGCTTCGGCTAGGCGGAAAATCCCGGGAAAAAGTTAGTATGTAAGGTGGAATAAAAATGTTGATGAGCCTACTGCACGTGGTATTCCCAGCCGGTCTCCCATGCAAGTACTGACCACGCCCGATGCAGCTTAACTTCAGTGATTGGACGAGGACTGGTGTACTCTGCAATGGTTTGGTAGTAGGCTGAATATTTGTCGGAATTGGATGTCGTTTAATGTTTCAGCTAGGCAAAAATTGCCGGGAAAAAAGTTAGTATGTGCGGTGGAATAAAAATGTTGTTGAGCCTACTGCACGTGGTATTCCCAGTCGGTCTCCCATGCAAGTACTAAACACGCCCGATGCAGCTTCAATTCAGTGATCGGACGAGAACTGTTTTTTTTCTTTTATTAAAAGGCAAGCCCACTAGCTCGCCTTGTTAATGTAATTTTTTCATGTAAATATTTTTAAGTAAATGCTCAACTATGTTTATATCACAATGTTGAATTCAGACTATAAATATATGTTGATATAGTGATACAGATTTGGAAATCGTGCTTAATTTCTCAGAAGTTTGTTTGAAAAGTATCTCCGTCAACCCTTACAAGATTCATAAATCTTTTTTTGAAT